GAAATACAAAACAGCAACAACAACAACAACAACAATTAAAATGACACAAAACCCACACCATCAGCAAAACTAGAAGTCAGAGAATGCCCAAACTTCAAAATGCCCGTGAATAAAAAGTAAAATTCAACCCATATGCACTCTCTCTCATGCTTTATAGAGAATGTGGTCTAAATTTAAGTTGAAATGACTGACAGAAAGAGAACACTCCCACTAATGGTGAAAATACTTGGGAGAAAAGCATTCCCCACTAACTTCTTTGTATCAATTATTGAATAGCCTCTACTTTGCCACTCTGCCTTGAAATAAACTACAAAGTATATTCTATATGATGCCAATGCTTCAAGTTATGCTTAATGACAACATATTAGCCTGGGAGAAATGAAATCACTGATAGAATTAAACTCAGCTCTCAATAATCCTCAATCTGGGCATCTACTGAAGAAAATGGAGGGACGGGGAGAAAAGGGGAGGACTAAGTCAAAGCCAAGATCACAGCCAATATCATATGGCAGAAGCAGTCCAGTAAGCATCAATGATACTTCAGCTCAAACCACCAAAAATATTTCACTGGGCACACCTGAGTTAGCATATATTTTCACCACTCAACTAGCTATTCAATGATGGAGGAGTCATGAAGCTCATCAATGTCTGTTTCCTTATTTATAAATGGTGATCACAAGGATAACATGTGAGAACACGAGATAATAGAAACATCCAGTCCAGTGCCTCACAAATGGTAGTCACTCAGTAAGTGTGACCAAAATGATAATTGCCTTAATTATGACAAATATTGGCTCATTTTCAAATGCTTGAAAATTGTTATAAGGAGAATATTTTTCTATCATAATGCATCTCTTTTTCTCATATTGATGCTGGTTGTGCTACTTTCAACTGATATCGAAGATACATGGCTTGCACTTTAATCAATATAAAATATTAGTGCAACTAGAATTTGTTAGAGTCCAAACTTGAGTTTAATTTGATACAATTCTTGCCAAAAGTGTACTTTAGCTTTCGATTTTTTAGAAAGGCAGTCTAATGGACAGATTAACTATTAATCTTTCTATATTTTTCAGGCTTTAGTGTGCTGTATTAAGATCACTCCCCGGAAAGCATAGTGCCTGAACCATATTTTATAAATTCCCCACAGAAATGCTTTTACCTAAGTGTGACTTAATTATTAATAATTTATAATCTTTTCTTAGCCATCTAGAAGTCAGATGCAAGTCGGTTCCATTTGATAAGTACTTGCATTTTTTTTACATACTATAGAAGCCAATGCTCACTATCAATTCATTTACATAGTCAACCACCCAGAGTACTTTCATTCAACATCAAAATTATCACTAAGGAGCCTGGCCTGTATGGCTCAGTAGTTGAGTGTAGACCCAAGAACCAGGATGTCAGGGTTCAATTCCAGGTCAGGACTTTCTCAGGTTGCTCGATTCACATTAGGGGGCAGGAGGCAGCCGATGGATGGTTCTTATCATTGATGTTTCTATCTCTCTCTCCCTCTTCCTTCCTCTCTGAAATCAATAAAAACATTTAAAAATTTTTTAAAAATATCACTAAGGAAGTCTTCTGGGATAACTGAATTGGAGAAGAGAATTAGCATGGACAGTTAGTACTGTACTACAGGCTTTCTGTATGTGGTCTGTTTAACCCTTATGACCTTGTGTAATACATGAGAGATTCTGGTTTACATGTGAAGAAACATGACTCAGGCAATGTTATGATACTTTGAAAAGAGAATGTTTTACTTGAGTCTTTTCTACTTCAACTAATGTAGCCTCTATTCTTTTAAGTAGTCTATAGAGGCTGTGATTTGAGGCTAATCAATATTCCGATTCTATCTGAAGACCCTTCAGTTTACCTACATGCCTTTTGGGTGTGGTTATGGATTATAGCAGAATAGAGAAGATCTGACTCCTACATCTTCCTTTAATACAGATCACAGTTATATAGCTTTTTTGGCAGATACAAGGTAATATTGATTTACATTGCAATTACTATTAAGTAAAATCCCTTGGCAGTTTTCTCTGTTACAAAAAAAAGTATCTTCACTGTACTTGTGCAGATGGGATTTTTTGGTCCAACTTTCATAACCATACACATATTCCCATTATATATTATTTTATTAGGTTTGGCCCATCATTCTAAGACATAAAAATCTTATCACAATTAAAATTTATATTTACTTCCCACTTATTAGGTGCCAGTCAATGTACTAGGCATTTTCAATGATATTATTTTATTTTATTCTTATTTAACCCAAAGAAAAACACCAATTTTATGACCGAAGGTTCAAGAATATGAGTAACTTGACTGAGACCTCTCAAAACACTAGTAACAGAATTTAGCTTTTGAATGCATGTCTATCTAATTTCAAAGTTCATGATTTTATTTGTTTATACTAACCTATAATCATGAGTCATTAAGAAACCTTTTAATTTATACTCAACGAACTCCATGTAAGGAGTTTAATTTTGAAAGCCCACTTAATATATTAAAGAAATAAGATTTCATATGTAAGAACAAACTTCAGTATCTGTAGCCTATGTTTATAAATTGTGAGTTGTTGCTGTAGATGTGTTTGTATGTACATATGGTAAATATAAATGATTCTTAACCAACTTTCAATGTGTTAGTTTTGTGCATGATATTGAGCAAGGTACTTGGAAAATAAGTAAATTTTAAGATGAACAATTGTTAGTTTTTTTAAACCATTTATCCGGAAAGAGAGATCCAAGTAGATACATTCCATTATGCATACTTCATATTTATCTCTTTAAAATTGCTTCACACCCCATCCTTGTAACATGCCTTGAGGGAAGTAGACATAAGAAGCTGTTGCTATTGTGAAAATGTTTCTCTCTCTGGTCTATAGTGACTATACCAAGGGGAAATAAATCCATAGGCTGGGCTAGACTAATTTAGAGTATCTTTTTACAGTTTTTGAGACATAGGCATATGGGGGAAATTAAACTGAAAAATTAAATAAAATTGAAGCTGGGATGGCATTGTTTAATGCGCATTCTGAGAAGTAAGCAAAGGAAGCCATTCTTTAGATAGAATGAAAAGCCCAGAAGATGGTGATCCCATGAGAGGAATAGGAGTCATCCCAGTTCTTGATTTTCCATTTTTATTTCCCAGGACACAAAAATGTACTGTGTGTTCTTTCCTTGGATGTCTATGAGATTACCATTTGTATACTTAAATGTCTGCCTCACACCATTTATTTAAGCTAGCATTTAGAGTCTGATTTTTACAATGACTGTTATTCCATTAAGATTAACTAACACCTTTTCTTTCTTAATATATAAGTAATGAACTAAACTATTAAGCAACTCAGTTTCATTAAACAGTGTGGAATTCTGGTGCAGAATATATGTGTGTGTACATATGTGTGTGATTTCTGTTTTAGGAAAAACTTATAGAAGGAATTCATCCAAGGCCAGCACTGTAAGAGACAAAATATACATGTACAAAATGCCACAATTATCAAGTAAAAAATTTCTTATCCTTGATTGCAGTAATAAAATTACAAAGAGGGTTAAGGGGAATGAATAAAGAATAATCAGTCAGTTGTCACCGAATAGGATCACTTGAGTAGGTTTTGACAAGAATTAGACTGGAGAAAATCAGCAAAAGAACATATTTTTATGTGAGAGGCAGTAACAAGGTTTATGAATGGGGAATTGATGCATAAAATTATATTTCATGAAGACAAATTTGAGTGGCCTGTAGGATGATTTGAAGTAAAGACTAGAACGGAGGGAAACCTGTACAGACTACTATAGCAACCCAGATATAGATGACTTACCTCACTGTAGATATGTAAACAATGGATCATATTTAAATACATAATGAAAAATAATTGAAAGAACATTATTTTCTTTAGAGAAATTGATGACAAATACAAATTTCATGAGTAATATTTAAGATAATTAGTTTATATTTGTGCTTTTTTATATAATGAGTAAGAAGCTTAAAGATTGATTATAGTCATGGGGAAAAACAATAAATTTTGTTTTTACTTGTTAAGTTGCTCTCATTGGTGGGTTTGCTACAGAAATAACAGAAGAAAGATATTATTTTGGGAAATGTACTCGGTAAGTATCCATGTATAGTAATTAAAACTGTGTTTGCCTATGCAGTCACCAAAAAGAAGGACATAACAGAAGGGAAAGGCATAACTTTAAGGGATATCAGAGTTAAAATTTGGAAGGAAGAACTGAGTCAAAGGGAGTATTCAGAGTCATAAGAAAAGTGGATAATGCTGCCATGAACATAGGATTGCATATATCTTTGTAAATAAGTGTTTTCATTTTTCATGCAGATATAACCAAAACAAACAAACAAACAAAAACTCTTAGATGGACTCAACAGTATGGTGGTTACCAGAGAAAAATGGGAGTGGAGGGGTAGGGAAGGGTAGAGAGGGTAGAATGTGTAGTGATGGAAGGAATTTTGACTTTACACAACACAGTGTTCAGATTATGTATAATAGAATTGTACACTTGGAACCTATATAATTTCATTAACTAATGTCACCCCAATAAATTTAATTTTAAGAAAAAGAAGAGAAGAGTAGGGTTCACAGGCAATGAAGACTGCCTTTAGGAAAGGAAAGCCTAGTCAATAGTTTAATGCAGATGAGAGTGAAATAATTGGATTCCCCACCCCCCCACCGCCAAATCTTTAGAACTCTTATGACAAAGGAGAAATGGAAAGGAATATTTCAGTAAGAGGGAAAGGATTCAGTGGAGAGGTAAAGAAAACAGAATGAGTTACACATGAACTTACAAATTAAGTCTAATATTAAGTATAACAGGACCTAATTTAACAGCTCAATTTTCTACAAAACTCGGGACTTTTCTTTAAATAAATGCAGTTATCTGTTACCTTTTATTTATAAATGTCCTAAACGTTTTTAATTTAAATTTTTTTCTACGGTATATCCAAATTTAATAGAGAGCTAAAAAATACATTTCTTGCAGGTGCAAAATTGAAAATGGCTTCCCCAGAACCTAAGGGCCTTGTCCCCTTCACGAGGGAGTCTCTTGAACTTATGGAACAGCGTATTGCTAAAAAACACAATGAGGAACATGAAGAAGATTTAAAGCCAAACTCTGACTTGGAAGTTGGAAAAGAGCTTCCATTTGTTTATGGAAATCTTCCTCAAGGAATGGTGTCAGAGCCCTTGGAAGACGTGGACCCATACTACCAGAATAAAAATGTAAGGATCAATTGAACTTATTATGACCACATTTGTTTTTCAGACATGCAAAAATGTAATTGAGATAGAATGCAAAAAGATAATTAAGAATAAATTAATAAGTAATTTTAAATTATACAAAACTACATAAGAAATCTAACACATATTTGAGAATTTTATAAAAAGTCACTGTTTGCCTGGTTGGCTAGTTTGTTTGGGGTTACTTTACTTTGTAATAGGCTATACTGTTATACCTTTTTTATTTTTCCTCCCCATCTGTGAACGTGAGATGTCTTTATATTTATTTAGATCTTCTTTATTTCAACAATGTTTTGTAGTTTTCAATGTACAAGTGTTTGCTTTTATTAAATGTATTCCTAAGTATTGTATTTTTTATGGTGATATTATACATGGAACTAGAGGCCTGATGCATGACATTCGTCACTGGTTGTGGGGGGAGGTCCCTCAGTACAGCCTGCGCCCTCTTGCAGTCTGGGACCCCTCAGGGGATGTCCGCCAAGGGGTCCTTAACACTACCCTAGTGGCACTCCCCCTGTGGAAGCACACTGACCACCAGGGGGCAGCTCCTGCATTGAGCATCTGCCCCCTGGTGGTCAGTGCGCTTCATAGCGACCAGTCGTTCTAGTGTTTGGTCGATTTGCATATTAGGGTTTTATATATAGGATTGTTTCCTTAATTCATTTTTTGCTCCTTTATTGCTACAGTATAGAATACAATTGATTTTTAAATATTAATCTTATGTCCTGAAACCTCACTAAAATATTTTTTTAAATTGTTGACACTATTACAGATGTCCCTCATTTTCTCCTCGTTGCCCACCTCCCCACCCCAGGCCTTCACCACATTGTTGTCTGCGAACATGGGCTATACCTATATGTTCTTTGGCTAATCTCTTCACCTTCTTTTATCTAGACCAGGGGTCCTCAAACTTTTTAAACAGGGGGCCAGTTCACTGTCCCTCAGACCATTGGAGGGCCAGACTATAGTTAAAAAAAACTATGAACAAATTCCTATGCACACTGCACATATCTTATTTTGAAGTAAAAAAACAAATGTTTTCGGCGGGCCGCATGTGGCCCGTGGGCCGTAGTTTGAGAACCCCTGATCTAGACCCTCTCACTCCCTCCCCCCTGTTATGCATTCATATAATGATTTGTTTTATTGGCGTATGATGATCAGCTACTTAAGGTTATAAATTTTAAAGCACTATAATATAAAAGTTATATAATATCTACACAATTTCACATGTTCAACTTGATAAGAGCTCACTCAATAGTTAGGAAAATAAAGTCAACCTATATTTTATTTATCATTTTTATTCATTCATAAATCATATCCTATCTTATCTCCAGAATAACTTGAAGAACCCTCTAAATATTTGAAAAATTGAAAAACAAGCACAAAATGATAAAAATAAGAAATTTTTTTTTAAAAAAAGGCAGAGATCTGTGTGTCTTGGTAGCTGGAAGAGTCTTCATTAAAGAAATAGAATGTGAGTTATAGATTAGAGAACATTTCAAATTTTAACAAGGCAAAGGGAAGATCTATGAACAAGCAAGAGCAGAGATTAATTCTGGAATAGGGAAGAAACAGTGCTGTAAATTGTAGGAAATAGATGAAATAAGGGAGATTTCAACATGGATTTAATGTGATGACCAAAAAACTGATGTGATGAATACAATATTTAAGTAAGGTTAATATGAAGATTTCTAAATTATTATTGCATGAAAGAGGTAGGGTCAGGAAAATGAAGTAGGAGAGAAAGAGTAATCCAGCCTGATGGTGTCTCAGAGGAGAGAGAGAGAGGTAACAAATCCGAGAAGAATCAGCAAGATTTGAAGACTGACTAATAATGCCAAGGTCTTCAGCCTGAAAGAATGGTGGTGCTGCTGACAAAAATGCAATAACTATAAAAAAGATCAAGTTTGGGAGACAAAAGGATTAGCTCCATTGTGGACAAATGTAATTTGATATTCTTGTAGAGCAAGCATGTCAAACTCGCAGCCCATGGGCCCCATGTGGCCCACAACGAATATTTTTGTGGCCCAGCCAATATCTGGTATAACGGTATGTAAGAAACGTTTTAATAAAAATTTCATAACTTAAATTTTACAATATCCTGTTATACATAATTATTAACAACAATGTTTACTAATGACTGATCACTATAATCGTGTTGCATTCATTTCCCTTACGTGCCTTACGCACAGGCTCACCATTTCTCTCCACTAATACTAGCAGTGAATATTTTAGCAGCCGATTTCCACGTCATTAGTCTTGGACTGACTTGTTTGGTCCTGAAGGTCATCCGGAAGGACGTCGGTCTAATTAGCACATTACGCTTTTATTATTATAGATTGTATTACATTGCATTATATGCTATATATTATATCCTGTTATATAACATATATAATATTCAATATAAAATATGTTTGTGCACATATCACAATAAATGAATTTTCCAATTAGATATGTATTATACTAAGGGTGTGTATTCAGAAACATACACACTCACACACTTTCACTGTGTGTAAGTGTATATGTATATATGTATATATTGTAGCTACACACATATATACATATATATAAACATCTATATATATATATATATGACTCATTTTTAGGGTATTTCTGATCTTTCATTTGTTTTGGTTTCATGTTCCAACATATTATATTTACATGATTTAAATGTATGTTATGAAAATGATAATAAACAAGTGGGGTTTTATACCATGGATAATTACTAATGATTGGTGTAACATTGAGATATTTTTGGGTCAATTTTACTATTGTAATCCCACACATCATTGGCTTTGAAATAAAATTAATGTTTTTTTTTACATTTATTGAATTCAGGTATGTTTAAATGAATCTCCATGAACCATTAATATATACCTTTCTTCCTATTATTTTAATTTTGCCGGAAACCCTGAGGACTGGTGTGTGGCAAATGGTTTTCTCAATAGAATCCTAGCCTCTCCCCCCGCAAAAAAAAGTGGTAGATAAGCTTAAATATCAATTAAAAGAGTTACAAAAAACACTTTCCCCTTGCTTTTGTTTGTAAAAGAATATCAAAATATAAGAAAAATATAATCGTTAGAACTCATGATGGAAATGACCATTGTCAATATGTTGCATAACTGGTTAGATTATATAGTTCATGTTCTAATTTCACATGATCTTTTTTGCCTTACAGACTTTCATGATACTAAACAAGAAAAGAACAATTTTCAGATTTAATGCCACCTGGTGTACATTGTCTCCTTTCAATTCAATTAGAAGAGCAACTGTTAAGATTTTGGTACATCCATATCCTTTTCTATTGGCTTTAGAATGTACAAATATCAAATGTAACCATACTATTCAAATATTGCTACAGTCATTTCCTCTTTTGAATTGATTTCTCATTTTAGGTCATATTGAAATTTGGATTATAACTGCACTAAGTGTTTCATCTTTGAAAATGCATTTAAATATATTTTCAAGTTAGTAAACATTAACAAATCTTAATCTTCATCATTTATCAATATGACTAATATATATTTCTGATAATTTAAGAAACTATTTATCTCATATGTGTACATACATATAAACAGATTTAGAAACATATAATTCCAATATTATTTATTATATACTATTCCTTGACTGCAATCTACCTTTTTTCGACTATTAATTTTGATTAGCGTCCTGATTGACTGCATATTTATGTCCCTGACTGAGGGGCCAAAATGGGGGCAAGAATTACAGTAAGTTATATAATTTCATTGTATGTAATCTCATATAAGATTATATTTAATATTTACATGTGGCATTATAGTACATTGCATACTAAGTATTATAGCTTTGCATAATTTAATATTTATAATATAATATAATAAAAGAAAAACATGCAAATTGACCGCACCTCCGCTATGCCCAAGCCACGCCCACAAGCCAATCAGAGCGACTATATGCAAATTAACCTAACCAAGATGGTGGCCGGCAGCCACGGAGCTGGAGCAAGCAGGAGGCTTGGTTGCCCCAGCGATGAAGGAAGTCAAGCTTCCCGCCTGCCCTGGCTGGCTGTGGCCTCCGCTCAAGGCAACAAAGTTTCAATTATAGAAGACAAATAAATCCCAGATACCTGCTACCAGCCAGCCTCCATTGGGAGCTTGGGTGGGTGGGGGCTGTGGTCAGCCTGCAAACAGCCATCAGCCCCTCACCCAGGCTGGTCAGGCACCCCAGTGGGGACCCCTACACTGAAGGGGCTGTGGCCAGCCTGCAAACAGCCATCAATCCATCACCTGGGCTGACCAGGCACCCCAGCAGGACCCCCCTCCCTGAAAGGGGGGTGGCGAGCCTGAAAACCGCCCTCAGCCCCTCACCCAAGCTTGCCAGGAACTCCAGCTGGAACCCCCACCCTGAAGGGGGTGTGGCCAGTCTGAAAACGGCCCTCAGCCCCTCACCTAGGCTGCCCAGGCATCCCAGAGGGACCCCCACCCTGATCTGGGACACCTTCAGGGCAAACCAGCCGGCCTCCACCTATGCACCAGGCCTCTATCCTATATAATAAAAGGGTAATATGCAAATTGACCCTAACAGCAGAATGACTGGGAATGACTGGTCACTATGACACACACTGACCACCAGGGGGCAGACGCTCAATGCAGAAGCTGCCCCTGGTGGTCAGTGCGCTCCCACAGGGGGAGCTCTGCTCAGCCACTAGCCAGGCTGATGGCTGTCAGTACAGTGGTGGTGGTGGGAGCCTCTCCTGCCTCTTCAGTAGCACTAAGGATGTCCGACTGCAGCTTAGGCCTGCAGCCCGCTGGCAAGTGGACATTCCCCAAGGGCTTCTGGGCTGCCAGAGTGATGTCTCACTGCCAGTTTAGGCCCAATCCCCCGGGGAGCAGGTCTAAGCCAGCAGGTGGTCATCCCCTGAGGGTTCCCAGACTGCGAGACGGCACAGGCCGTTATACCACATTTCCTAAAGTGTTGTTACATTAAATTTTTGTGCACTGGGCCTCTAATGTATATATAATATTCATTATACATAATATAATATTTATACATATACCATGATTAATGAATTTGCCAAATAGAAATCTACATATATGTCAAGTAAACAATTTTAATGTTTTTCTACCCTTTCTTTATTTCCGAACCTGTTATGTTAACATTGTGTAAATGTTTGAGTCTTTAGCTATATGTTTATGTCTATGGTATCATTTTAAAGTTAATCACTAAGGATTAATATAATATTTCAGTGCCTCGGATTTTCTTTACTGTTGCAATCCCATACCCGATTTGCTTCAAACTCAAATAACTATTTCTTTTTATTCTTTAAGAAAGTTATTTTTCTTTCTTTCTATTCTATCTCTTTTCTCTTTCCTAAGAGATGTGAGTAGATTGACTTGCATTAGCCTATAATGATGGAAAGGCCCATTACATTTTCTAGAGATGAAGGCTTTTTTTTATGCTACCTCTTAAGTTTAATTCTGTCCTTAAAACTAGTTGACTTTGGAAGATAAATGTAGTACTGATTCATTATAAAAATCCTTATTTAAACATGATAAAATTAATTCTTTAAACCCTTTTACAATTCAGTGTGATCCCCAATATGGAATAACGTTGATATTTTATATTTTCACCATTTACCTAAATATATAGACAGACTATAACCTTGAGCTAGGACTTGTTGAAAAAACTGGTAATCAACTTGTATGGTTAATGCCATGAGACATAGACCACCCTAGAAGCCCTATCTAAAGCCTGCCTATGGTTCAAAGGGCACTTGCTTTTTTTATTGCCTGGTTGGTTGCTTGGTTCATTAGTTGATTATTTGCCAGATAGTTATCATAAACACTAGTGGCCCAGTGCACGAAATTCATGGACGAGTTTGGGGGTGTCCCTCAGCCTGGCCTGCATCCTCTCCAATCTGGGACCCCTTGGGGGATGTCAGACTGCCGGTTTAGGCCCGATACCTGTGGTTCCTCTCACAATCCGGGACCGCTGGCTCCTAACCGCGCACCTGCCTGCCTGCCTGATTGCCCCTAACCACTCTGCCTGCCGGTCTGCTTGCCCCCAACTGTCCCCCCTGCCGGCCTGCTCACCCCCAATGCCCCCCACCAGCCTGATCACCCCCAACTGCCCTCCCCTCCTGGCCTGATCACACCTAACTGCCTCTGCCTCAGCCCGCCAACATGGCTTTGACCGGAAGAATGTCCTGAAGGTCTCCCAGAAGGTATCCCGGTCTAATTAGCATATTACACTTTTATTAGTATAGATTGTATTTCAGAACTGACAATGTATTATTTTCACTTTAAATATATATATATATATATATATATATATATATATATATATTTGTGTGTGTGTGTGTGGGTGTGTTTATATATACACATATATATATAAACTTTTTAATATATAAATTTTTCTGCAGGATCACTTTGCTTGCAATTTACACATTTGAAATACTTGTAAAACTCATTGCAAGAGGCATCTGGACAGGATCTTTTTATTTCTTTGGTGACCCGTGGAACTGGCTTGACTTCAGTGTAACTTTGTTTGAGTAAGTATTATTTAAGTTGTGAACATCTTAATACCTTGCTAAGCAAATGCTTTTCATAAAAACATTGAAGTTGGCAAAATTTTCTGCCTGAAAAATTTTTGCGAATATAGAATATTTCATAAATTCTAATCATAGTGAGTTCTCTCAGACAGCTCCAACTGAACTAGGTCATAGAATATGGAATAAAATGAAAGGAATGGGATATTATCTATATTTTCTACATGAAATAAAGAAAATAGAGGTTGAATTTTTGCTTTTTAAATTAGTTTTAACGAGCAGAAAATCTTCTGGAGACTTAGCAGAGGATAGTAGCATATTTGGTTCTGTCTCCCAATTACATTTTTTTTTAGCTACATTTCTTAACACCAGTAAATATATTAGATATCTGAATAAGATATTTTAAAAACACACACATATACGTTTTCTACATTTCCTAAAGTGTTGTTACATTAAATTCTAATGATTTACATATGTATTTATTTTTTTAATGCATCTGTTTAATATACTCTGCTTTGTAGCTGAGTGATCAATGGTGTTGAACCTCTATTAAAGAAGTTAAAAATAATATTCTATTTCTAGATTTTGGGTCAAGAATTTTTCTTCAAAAAATCTTTATAAAGGTTAATAATTATTGTCTGCCATATGGTAAGCAATAAAAAAATAGTAGCTAAAATTATTGCAATTATCACTACTGCTTATACTATTGCTATCATTATTTCTGCTGTTGTGTTAGCAAACACTTAGCTAATAGCTAACATTTAGATATCTTATAGCATGTGCCAGTTGCTTTTCTATGCACTTTACATATATTAGCTGATCTACTAGGTGTACCAGTTAATAATGCGGATTTTTTTTCAACAGATGGAGTTACACATACTAGTATGTTGATATATATGCAATTTGATATGTATGTTATTTTGTTGTATTGATAGCAAGCTTCAAAACTTCATATGTCAAATTTTCTGAAGGTGTTAACATCATAGATATTTTTAAACTTAAAAATATCGAATTTCGTGCCAAAAAAAAGAGCATTTGCGGAAAGTTTTAATTCATTACTTTATTTTAAAGAAGTTATTGTATATTTCGGGAAGCTTATGGTGAACAAGCTCCATCTCAAGATAATTGTGAACGCTGATTTAAATGCTTTAAAAGTGATGATTTCGATGTGAAAGACAAAGAACGTCCAGATCAACTGAAAACATTTGAAGACCAACAATTTTAAGCATTATTGGATGAAGATGCGTGTCAAACTCAAAAACAACTTGCAGAAATATTAAATGTTGCTCAGCAAACAATTTCTGATTGTTTACAAGCAATTGGAAAGATTTTAAAGGAAGGAAAATGGGCGCCACATCAACTGAACAAAAGACAAATGGGAAACCGCAAAGTCACCAGTAAAATGTTGCTTCACCAGCACGAAAGAAAGTCTTTTTTTGCATTGAATTGTGACTGGCGATGAAAAGTGGATTTATTTTGAGAATCCCAAATGCACAAAATCATGGGTTGATCCAGGTCAACCATCAACATCGACTGCAAGGCCAAATCGCTTTGGAAAGAAGACAATGCTCTGAGTTTGGTGGGATCAGGAAGGTGTGGTGTATTATGAGCTTCTAAAACCAGGTGAACTGTTAATACAGATTGCTACCAACAACAAATAATAAATGTGAACCATGCTCTGATCATGAAATGACCAGAATGTGCCAGAAGACACGGCAAAGTAATTTTGCTTTATGATGACGTACCATCACACACTTCAAAACCAGTTAAAGACACATTAAAAGATCTTGCCTGGGAAGTATTAATCCACGTGCTGTGTTCACCAGACCTTGCTCCTTCAGATTACCACTTGTTCTTATCAATGGCACATGCACTTTCTGAGCAGCGCTTCAAAACGTACGAAGAAGTGGAAAATTGGGTCTCTGAATGGTTTGCCTCAAAACAAGAAAAGTTCTATTGGGACGGTATCCATAAATTACCTGAAAGATGGGGGAAATGTGTAGCTAGCGATGGACATTACTTTGAACAAAGCACTTTTGATGTTTCTCTTGAAATTATCGTGTTCTTTTTTATTACAACATCCACCATTATTAACTGGTACATCTAGTAGTCCCAACCCTCTGAAAAAGGAAGTATTACCCCCACCTTACTTCTGAGGAAACTGAGGCAAGAAAGGTTAAGTAATTTTTCTCTGTCACACAGCTCGTAAAGAGTGGAGCCTGGATTTCTACACAGGCAGTCTGGCTCCAGCGTCTGTGCTCTGGACCAGTATGTACCCTGCCTTCTGCTATCACCACCATTACCATTGTCATCACCAAAATCACCTTAAACCCTTGAAGCTCATTCCTTTAAAAGACTGTGGTTTTTTATTTTAAATAATCGTTTTGTTAGTTAGATAACAAAATATTTATGAAGATGACATCAATATGGACTTAAAAGTACTCACAGTGTCAAAATTTATAAATTCTCATAATTCGTTTGTGGATTAATATTAACCCGGCTACTTTGCACATTGTAGCAATCTTTGTCTTCCAATCAGTAATAAAACTATTTGCAAAATGGAGTAATGAGAGCAAGGGAAATGTTTGGATACATGGCTTTTAAAATAAGTTTTAAAGAACATAAGGAGCCAAAGATACGTAGCATAACCTCTATATAACTCTAACTTAATTCCACAGGCACATAACAATATATTCGCCTCTAAACTTCACACCAATATTTAGAGTTGCAAGAAGTTTGAGAATTTTGAAAATTATTCCCTTAAACCAAGGTAAGAAATTCTTGACATTGAGTTCCTTTTCTTCATTTTGTTTTATGTATTTCCATATATTTATTTGAATTCCTCTGTTATTGTTTGGAGAAATATTAAATTGAATACTGCTTCAGCTTGTTCAATTAATGAATTATCTGATCTTTAAATCTGTTTCAGTCACTACAGGAAAGGCAAAAAAATTACACATTTGACTGTTATTTATTTGAGGTCGGTTCATTAATTATAAAATATAGCGATCAATTGAAAAGATAATTTTTCTATTTTTTAATATTTATTTATTTATTCTTATATCTTAAATATGATCTTATAAAATTGTCTTTAGACTTCTTTTTTTAAAATATATTTTATTGATTTTTTACAGAGAGGAAGGGAGAGGGATAGAGATTTAGAAACATCGATCAGCTGCCTCCTGCACACCCCCCACTGGGGATGTGCCCGCAACCAAGGTACATGCCCTTGACCAGAATTGAACCCGGGACCCTTCAGTCCACAGGCCGACACTCTATCCACTGAGCCAAACAGGTCAGGGCGTCTTTAGACTTCTTAGAGTGACAGCAGCCTAGACAGATATCCAATCTAACTTCTTCCTTTTCTAATTGCATCTAACAATCAGATGAAATGAATAAAGTAATATAAAATAGAACAAATTCCCTTTTGTTCTGAGTGCTTGGATAGGGTGCATTCCATATGCCACAAAATTCAAGGAGTTCCTGCTAAGTAAGGCTGTGACCACATTGATGGAAGATGCTGAGGACTAATTTTAGCCCCCATTCCTGAAGATACCTTAAAACCTTCTAATTTGTTATTCAGAATGAATAAAAACAATAAAATAGGAAAACTCCAATCAGAGAGTTGTGGGGTTTTTTTGTTGTTTTTTTTTTACTGCTATGATTCAGAGTAGTATGAAATAGTTAGATCAATAAGCCCTGAGGCAAGTGTGATAATACCAAAAGTAAGAACTACAGGCAACTTTTGTGCACTGGTACACCATGAAGAGTGCCAAACACATGCATACTATGTATCAATCCAACCAAATTCCAGGTTGGCAAAACAGCAAAAAGATTGGGGGAGTGTGGTGATGGATGCATAACCATGTAGCCATACTGAAACATTAAATTGTACACATTAAATGGGTGAATTGTATGGTTTGTGAATTATATCTCAGTAGAGGCATATAATAAATATGATTTGTGGCATAGCAGTTTTACCAAACCCAGTGAAGAAACCAGTGATACTTGCCCTGGTAGGGATAGTCACAGTCTGAACTTCCTTACTAGTCTCTACAAATCACTAGAACATAAAATTGCATCAACTGCATCTTCATCTTGGCAAGGATTATAGAAAAAATCAGGTGGATCCCAGTTAATACCATAGGAATACACACACTAGAGTTCAGAGCACACAGGCTGGTAGGACCTGCTCTTTACAAGGGAGAAAATAATGAAGGCACATGGCAGCAATATAAAATGTATAAAAATATTTTGCAACATAGAAAGAGAAACATACTATTTGAGATAATGAAAATAATTCTCTTTTTCATAAAAACAGTGCTCTAAGAAATAGGAGCAAGCATAAAAAAATCATATTTTGTAGTCCTAATAGAAGAAAATCGAGACTCTTTGAAGCAAAAGAGGAACAAGATTATAAAATGACAAATAAAAATACTGTTAAAACTAAAGTATGATAAAATTATAATAACTTTGGTTAATATCTGATGGCAGTAAAATATAGTATCATCTGTATAGTATTATGGTAAAGCAAAACCTATTGTACAGAAAAATTAGAGACATTCTATATTAATACAGTAGAACCAAAAATTGGATGGATTAATAAAGGAGAGAAAACTTAAGTTTCATTTTATGGATAATAGGCAATACTAAAAAAGAGACAGAATAATGTAAAAGACAAATTATTAAAAAATACACTAGAATTTTTTAATCACTTAAATCAAGACCTTAGTCACAAATGGAAAAAGCTCATCTTATACTAGACAAATAAATAAATAAACAAATAAAATAAATAAAGGATACACTTATAAAAGTATTATAAAACCCCTACAAGCAAAAAAGCAAAGAAAAAGAGCCTATGGAAAGGTAATCCTTAGACCTTGTGAGTGGGCAGTAGAGTTTCAGAACTTGGAGGGCTGTCAGCAGGGAATTTATGACACCAGAACGTCATACCTGTTTGTCATTTATGTGTGAAGTCAACAGAAAAATAATCTCAGCCAGCCCCAGAGTTCTTGAATTTTACATGTGTATCTTTCCTGAATATCTGCTGAAAAACAAAAATATAAAAATAAAATATTCCGCAATAAGAAGATTTACTATCAAAAGTAATCGCAATGAAGTATTAAATCATTTCAACAGAGAATGAATTCCAAATTATGTTGTTAGTGGGTTGAAAAACAGAATACAAATATTATAAATTATAAATTCTAGCATGAACATCTGTGGGACATTCTTGAACTAGAAACATATGTTGTCTGTGCTCTTACAAACTTTGGAATAGATACCAACCTTATAAAAACCTGGTGGTTTTAACATTAAAATCTAAATTAATTTGGATAAATTGTCAGCATCAATCCAGCCAAATTCCTGGATGCAACTACCACCTGTAATTGTAGAGCAGCTTACCTTTAGGTCAGGCACATTCATCCAAGTCTCCTCCACTCCCTACTTGCACAAATTTTATTTTCTGACAAGCCTTTGTATGAATATCAATGTTATCTTTCCTACAAGTCATGAAACATAATATATAATGCAAATACATAAAATTCAACTATTATAATTAGGTCAGAGGTTCAAAATTATATTAACAAAAATGAGAACTAGAAATTGAGAAATGTGAGAAAGCAAATATTATTATGTTCTTATATGAGAAGACTATAGTAGATACAGTGTAATTTTTTATGTAGAGAGTATGTTTGTTCAAAATAAGAATTTAAGTTTGATACAGGTGCTCAAAATAGACATACTAGAAGAAAAAAATATTAAAATTTATTTAATAAAGATAAAACACATAGAAATCATAAGGGAAACATAAAAATAAAAAAACAAAATGGTAAAGGCCAATCCAAATAAAGGCAATTTATGAAAATAAAAATAATTGGGTTAAATTTTTCTGTCAAGATGTAGAGACTTTAATATTAAATCAGAAATAAATTGAACTCCACCAGAGATACCTAAACTAAAACAAAATAAAAGTTTAAAAGTAAAATGAAGGGGAAAGTAATACCAAGAAATCAAAGTCAAAGTTGGCATGTGGTAGGTAGCAATAAATGGTAGATAACAAAGAAAATTATATTATTAATAAGTTTGATTCTGTAAAATTGGATGGTGACTTTTTTACCTTCAAACAAAATGTTACCAATAGATTAAAACTCACAAAAACTTGGTATATATGTAGTATATACATATATATATATATACATATACATATATACACATATACACACATACATGTGTTCTTATTTAAGAGCTACTCCAATAAAACAATATGAAACATTTTTCAGTAAAATAATATACAGAGGACTCGGGACATTGCCAAACAGAAGTACATTGCAAATGTACATGTTTTAAAAGTTCATTATGGTAATCAAAGAAATTACATTAGAGTAAAGTTATCCCATTTTTCTTCTAATAAAATGGAAATACTTTTTAAATATTATATTTTTAATGAAGACTTGATTATATACATATGTAGTGTTTAGTTTATGCATTAGTTTAACATCTCTTATTTAATCAGCTCCAAAAAAATGAATTCTTAATAATTAATGAAAGAATATTATAGAATACTGCTGTTTCAAACTAGTTTTTGTTTCAACATTTTCAACCCATTTTGATTAATAACTCTATACCTTTACTTATGCTTACAAACAATAGTGATTGATATGAAAATCAGTAATCAAGAGAGATAGCCTGTCCTTTATGTAGTATAGAGAAACAAACAAATGACTAATTTTAAAATATGTTGTGACTACATTATTTTGTTAAGTATAAAAAATTAGCAATTATACAAAAACCTTAAAGTTTGGTGTTTTATTCATTTTATTTATTAGACCTAGATCAGTGATGGCGAACCTTTTGAGCTTGGCATGTCAGCATTTTGAAAAACCCTAACTTAACTCTGGTTCCGTGTCATATATAGAAATTTTTTGATATTTGCAAGCATAGTAAAACAAAGGCTTACATTTTTGATATTTATTTTATATATTTAAATGCCATTTAACAAAGAAAAATCAACCAAAAAATGAGTTCGCGTGTCACTTCTGACACCCGTGTCATAGGTTCGCCATCACTGACCTAGATGATGGTAAATTAGATTATGAAACGCAAAGCTACCAATTTCAATGGATATGTATTTGCCATGGAAGAAGTTTGCTAATGCAGCTTTACTAAAGTACTTTACTTTATTGAAAACAAACTTGTCTCTTTTCAGGTGTGAAATCTTATGTAGGGATCCTGCTCCAATGCTTGAAGAAACTTACTGGTGTCATTATCCTTACTCTATTTTTTCTGATCATATTTTCTCTAATTGGGATGGGGTTCTTCATGGGCAAACTAAAGCATAAATGTTTCCGATGGCCCCAAGAAAATGAAACTGAAACCCTGCACAACAGAACCAGAAACCCATGTTATAGTCGAGGTAAGAATCGCTTGCCATCTATGTCAAACAATTTAAATGTTCGTTAGGGGGGGCGAGGGATATTTTTAGTTCTATTTTTTTAAATTGCAGTATAATTTACGTACCATAATAGTCACAGTTTTAGTTTGTTCACAAGGTTGTATAACCATCACCGCTATCTAATTCCAGGACATTTTCATCACCCTAAACAGAAACTCCTATCCATTAGCAATCACTTCTCATTCCCCTTGCACCAGACCCTGGCAACCACTAATCTACTCTTTGTGTCTATATACTTTTCTATTCTGGACATCTGCACTAATAAAGACAAAGATGATAATTGACTGTACCTTCGCTATGCCCAACCCATGCCCACCAGCCCATCAGAGTGACTATATGCAAATTAACCCAACCAAGATGGCAGCCAGCAGCCATGGAGCTGGAGCAAGTAGGAGGCTTGGTTGCTCCAGCGATGGAGGAAGCCAAGCTTCCCGCCTGCTCTGGCTGGAGGTGGCCTCTGCTCAAGGCAACAAAGTTTCAATAATAGAAGACAAATAAATCCCAGATACCTGCTTCCAGCCAGCCTCCACTGGGAGCTTGGGTGGCTGGGGGCTGTGGCCAGCCTGCAAACAGCCATCAGCCTCTCACCCAGACTGGCCAGGGACTCCAGCAGGACCCTCTACCATGAAGGGGCTGTGGCCAGCCTGCAAACAGCCATCAATCCCTCACCTGGGCTGACCAGGCACCCCATCGGGGACCCACACTGAAGGGGCTGTGGCCAGCCTGCAAACAGCCATCAGCCCCTCACCCCAGCTGGACAGGCAACCCAGCAAGACCTCCCTCCCTGAAGGGGGTGTGACCAGCCTGAAAATGGCCCTCAGCCCCTCATCCAGGCGGCTGGCCAGGCCCCCCAGCGGGATCCCCACCCTGATCCAGGACACCCTTCAGGGCAAACCAGCCGGCCCCCGCCCATGCACCAGGCCTCTATCCTATATAATAAGAGGCTAATATGCAAATGGACCCTAACAGCAGAGTGACTTGGAATCACTGGTCACTATGACATACACTGACCACCAGGGGGCAGACGCTCAATGCAGGAGCTGCCTACTGGTGGTCAGTGTGCTCCCACAGGGGGAGCTCTTCACAGCCACAAGCCTGGCTGACGGCTGCCAGTACAGTAGTGGTGGTGAGAGCCTCTCCCACCTCCTCGGCATCACTAAAGATGTCCGACTGCAGCTTGGCATTCTCCCTGCTTGCAAGTGGACATCCCCCAATGGCTCCCGGGCTGCCAGAGGGATGTCTGACTGCCAGCTTAGGCACAAGGTGTGGGCCTAAGCCAGCAGGTGATCATTCCCTGAGGGGTCCCAGACTGTGAGAGGGCAAAGGCTGGGCTGAGGGACCTTCCCAAGTGCACAAATTTTTGTGCACCAGGCCTCTAGTTTCATTTAAATGGAATCAAGCAGTGTATGGTCTGTTGTGACTAACTTCTTTCACTTTCTTCTTTGGAGAAATGTCTATTCAGATCCATTTATCTGGGTTATTTGCCTATTTATTATTGAATCATAATAAGGTTTTGTATATCCTGGATTCTAATCTTTACCACAACCTTGCAGAGGAGACATGAATAACCCCTGTTACAAAGAAGGAAATGAAGTTCAGAGAAATTTAGTGAATGCTCCAGAGTACTGTAACTACATGGGGATAAAATCAGGATTCTCTCCAAGCAAAATTCGGGTTTAATACCCCTTCCCTTTACACAAACCATACTCTTACTGGATTTTTTTTTCTCACATTAAAATTATCAGGTCCTTTCTGACAGCATTTAGAAAAAAATAAAAGCATATTTTTCAACTAATAAAAAACAAATATTGATTAATCTTATGTAGTCCTTCTACATTAATTTATACTTTGGATTTAATAAGTTCTAAAACAAATCTTAATAAATTTTACTCTTTAGTTTTCCCCATGAAATGATAATGATGCAAGTAATACAGAATTATTAGTATATGAGTATGTGGAATGTTTCCTTATGGTATGTGTCTATTTCAAGGCCCTAATTTTAGTGGTGAGGACATCAGGAGATAGATTAGTAAATGTTAGATTCCAATTGAAATACCCTTTGGTTCCTTTGACAATGTAACAAAATATGCTAATTACTTAAAAATAATTTTTGCTACTTCATTAATTATTGCTAAGGAAACAGGTTATTTTCATCTTTGTTAAAATATATTAAGAACAAATCACTTTTAAAGATTACCTCTTTAAAATAGTCAAATAGCATGCTAGGACCCGCTGAAAATATAATATTATTAACCTAATTGCCATGTCATAGTCCTTGTTCATAGAATAGTATTTGGGACTGTCCAGTTTCACTAATGTCAAAGTTCAATTGTTTTTTTAAAATTTACCTTTATTATTGAATCTATTACTGATGTCCCCTTTTTCCCCCTTGACTCCCACCTTCTCACTCCTATCCCCTCCCCTGGCTTTCACCTCACTATTGTCTGTGTCCTTGGGTTATGCAGATATGCACATAAGTTCTTTGATTGTCATTTCCTTTTTAACTGCTATTCAAGAGGTTGATCAATGGTTTCTAATTATGTATGATTTAAAAATTCTTCTAAAATTATTTTAGATGACAAATTTAAGTGACATTATTTGAGATTGGAGTAATTCAATTTTGTATATATAACATATACAATTTTGTGTACATATACATTTTTGCATGTACATACTCTCTCTCTCACACACACACACATACACATGCTCAGAACTGCTCTCATGGGTTTGATTTCTGTGATTTGAATTTAGAATCTAAAAATCAATGGTTCTAGGGATGCATGTTCCCAACCTTGGTAACTATATTTATAAATATCCAGTTTACATTTTAATTGACAAGTAAGGATATCTAGATAAATTCTATGGGCTGTAATTCAGATCAGTTTAGGTTGTGGTCAAAATAGGTGACACCATGGAAATAATTGGCGCTGGATGCTCAATGAAGAAAAATAAGCTTCGAAGTGAGAAAAGAATGGAAATTAAACCCAAAGACAGAAAATCTGGTCTTCTGCTCAGGAAGAGCATCAGGAATAAATCCTGGAGATAAAGGCCCGTGGCTTTCCAACATATTAGTTTTAGGAATTTTTCCTTCAGGGGTCTGGATGTACCTGGCTGGTTATATTCATTTTCTTGAACTCTAATTTTGAAAGGGATTCTTCTCTTTCAATACTGAGTTTATCACTTTCAGGTCAGTGAAGTAGGTGGATTGCCAGAGGACTTTTTGCCTGTGCATCAGATGCTGAGACAGCTTTCTTGATAAAAGTATGGAGTTTCCTCAAAAAGTTAAAAATGGAACTCCCACTTGACCCAGTAATGCCACTTCTAGGACTATATCCCAAGAAAGCAAAAACACCAGTCAGAAAGGATATATGCACCCCTTTGGTCATAGCAGCACAATTTACAATAGCTAAGATTTGGAAACAGCCTAAGTGCCCATCAGCAGATGAGTGGATTAAAAAACTGTGGTACATCTACACAATGGAATACTATGCTGCTATAAAAAAGAAGGAGAAAAAAAAAGAAAGAACTTTTACCATTTGCAACAGCATGGATGGAACTGGAGAGCATTATGCTAAGCAAAATAAGTCAGTTGGAGAAAGATAAATATCACATGATCTAATTCATATGTGGGATATAATGATTAACATAATTTGATGAACAAAAATAGATCCAGAGACAAATGGCAGTGGAGGTGGTGGTGGGGGGGGCGTTAGAGAGCAACCAAAGGACTTGTATGCATGCATATTAGCATAACCAATGGACACAGACACTGGGGTGGTGGGGGCTTGCCTGGGGTGGGAATGGCTTGCGGGGGGGGGGGGGGATGTCAATGGGGAAAAAGGAGACATATGTAAAACTTTAGACAATAAAAAAAATTTAAAAAAACAAGCTATATGCTAATTCCTTCTCACTATAGAGGTTTAAATGGCTTTCAGATATGCTGTTCACTCAAGCTTAGAAAATTAGATATAGAATATAATTTCTTTCTTATTTTCAGAAACAGAAAACTTTTATTATTTGGAAGGAGAAAGATATGCTCTCCTTTGTGGCAACAGATCAGATGCCAGGTAAGTGAGGTTAAAGTTTTCTTCTGTCAAGTCAGTATCACCAATCAATTGTATTTATTGGATAATTATTATCTTTACTTATGGTTCCGGTTTGATTAGATAATCTCTTATTTGTTCTGTTTGTTTTGTTTTGTTTTGTTTTTCATTGAAACCATGCTGAGAATGAATAGTATGGAATGCTATTAAACCAATTCTATTTTTTTTTTTTAGAAAACAATAGTCAAGCTAGCTAAATAATTTGCTTAAGGTCATTAGTAAACAGCAGAACTGGGGCTTAAACAAGATCTGATTTTTTTGTTTTTAGTGTGCCTCAGAGCTAGTGGAAATTACTAAAAAAGACAATAAAATCTTTTCTTTGTCCCCAAGCCTTTGATGAAAGAAATACTAAAGATTTGCTGTTATTTCACTTATTTATGGCTTATCTATCTTTTATGACTATAATTTTAATTAAGAAAAAGCTTATTGTTCTTGAAAATAATATTTATAAGTAATTCTTCAGGGGGAACACAACTCTCATATCTTGTCCTAATTTCAGAAAGTAGAAATAAAGTGCTTCTTGACAGTGCAATGCCTTACAGAGTTCCTTATGCTACTTCCCTCAGCTGATGACTTGATGCCCATCTGTAGGCTTACTTTTTCTTAGGCTCACGGGCCCAGGTTGACAAATGGCACATGATGGGGAGAGGAACCTAAATTATGCAGTTTTGTTCTATTTGATTGATTTAGATATTTGTCGCTTGCTCAACTCTTTGCCCAGCTACTTCTGAGTTTACACTCTATTCTCAAGTCCAAATTGTGAGCTCAGCCCATTGTGTCTGTCGTATTCAACACCAGCTAGCCCTCTTTGTGGACATTCCTAACACATATCGAAGATATCTGGTTATAGATATCCAGAATCACAATGATATATTTCAAGGCCAGAAAGTCATGCAATACTTCACCTGTAGCCATCATACTTTGCTGCAGAGTAAATGATCCCAAAAGTTAGTGCCTTAAGATAAGAACAAATATTCATTTGTTCAGATTATGTGAATCAAAAGTTTAGCAAGCCTCGATGCATAATTACTTTTTATACCTCTGTTTGTATCACATTTATTAACCATTAGCCAATGTTCAAAATAAGACACATGGCCAAAGCCAAAATAATGTCTGAGGCAACTAGGAATGCACATGGATAGAGGGAAGCCTCACTTATTGGGCCACTACTGTAATAACTGACCACAACACTCAAGCCCCCAGTAGATAAAAGTATGAAGACTCCATAAAAGGAAATGAAATAGTATTTGTTCTTTCCATGGTAGTGCAAGTACTGCTTGTAATTATTGATGTAATAAATGTTTTCTCACCCTTAAATATAAGGATCTAAGGATGTGAGGTGAGACCAATTGAAAGTTAAACCCTTAACTCGTGCAGTTTTATTTTTATTATGTTATATTTCATCATTTATACTTTCACTTTGAAATTGGGTACTAAAGAAAACTTTAACAAAGGCTTGGCAAAAAGCACTTGTCAGGTCCCTTTCCCTTTTAGCTTAATTAACACTCTTCACTTATACCAACTTAAAAATCTACCTCATTTGCAGCTTTCCACTGGAAATTGTTTGGGAGAAGATTGCTCCCTATGGAAACAAGAGCCCTTTATTATTTATGGGCAAATGTTCTATATTTATGATTTGACCATAATCTGGAAGTCACCTAAAAGTAAGCAGTTGCTCTTTTCTTTGTATTCTTTATTTAGTCAGTGTCCTGAAGGATATGAGTGTATAAAAGCTGGCATGAATCCTGATAATGGCTACACAAATTTTGACAACTTTGGCTGGGCCTTGTTAGCCCTATTCCGGTTGATGACGCAGGATTACCCTGAAGCACTGTATCATCAGGTAAGAACAGAGAGAATCTGCCATGCACATGAGAATGGTACCATGCCCCCCCTTCCAAGACAATGTTCAAATGTAACATAGTTTATTACATTTTGATGTGAAGTATTTGAAGACAGAAGGAAAGAGAACAAGAATTATTATGGGTCAAACTATACCCTAACACTGTGTTGTGGTCTGTACTCTTATGTGTGACATCTCATTTAACCTTTACAATAGGATTGTTGTAAAGGTTATGTCATATATATATGATTTTTATATGAAGACACTAAGATCACAGTGGGTGGGTAACCTCTCCAAAGTTACAACACAGGTATATACAGGATCACTGTCCTGCTCTGTGATATGAACTAAGTTAAGAAGATTTCTAGGTACCAATTCTTCAGTCACAAATTTGAACCTATGAGATTACCAAGTATTACATAATTATTTATTGAATACCTACAATGGGCTATTTCTTTTCAATTCTCGTATTCTCATTTCTCTTTAATATTCAATCATGCCTCAGTTGTAACAGAAGGCTTGCTGTTATCAGACTTGAAATCCAAATTCTGAAAGTCTGTCTTCATCATTGATGATTTGTGTGCCATAGTTTCTCAAGAAGATATAATATTAATTAAAACAAAGATTCAGTTTTTTTATTCAGAGAAGTTTCGCACAGTAGAATATGCAATGCTATTTTAGTAACATAGTTAATATAAAAGGATATTAGATATATTTTATACCTTAGATAAATCTAAAGTTAAATTTCGTTTTGCTTATTTTTCCAATAGAGCCAGTACTTGAACTGTCTTGTGATTACATTTCACTTATGACTAAATTATTTTCATAAAAACTTCATTTTTATTTAAAAAAAGAAGATTACAGGAAGACAAATAACATCTTTTTTGTCCTGTTTTCCACCTCTCCTTAGATCCTTTATGCTTCTGGAAAGGTCTACATGATATTTTTTATTATAATAAGTTTTTGGTTTGCCTTTTACATGGCAAGTTTGTTCTTGGGCATACTTGCAATGTCCTATGAAGAAGAAAAACAGACAGCTGCTGAAAAAACTAAGAAGATTGAAACAGAATTTCAGCACACTTTACTTCAAGAAGAAAATGAAGCAGCTGAGGTATAATTTTTAAAATGCTTCTTAGAATCACAGAATTTGAGTTATCTTCTCAAGATCTTAGAGTATATTGCTAGATCCTCAATAGGTGTGTGGTGCATGATAAGAAGATTGAAAGTGATTTTGATAAGAGCATTTGTTTTTGCTACATAACATTCTTTCCTGAGTGCACTATGGTAAGAAAAGCCAATACCATTAATATTTCATTAATATATACATTTTGTTCCAAAACATGTATTACTGCTGCTGATAAACTATCTATACGAATAAAAGGGTAATATGCTAATTAGACTGGATAGACCAGACATCTTCCGGTCCTCCTTCCGGACAAAGCCACGGTGGCAGGGGCCAAGGCAGAGGTGGTTAGGGGTAATCAGACTGGCAGCAGAGGGCAGTTAGGGGTGATCAGGCCAGCAGAGAAGGGCAGTTAGGGACGATCAGGCCCACAGGGATCGGGCCTAAACCGGCAGTTGGACATCCCCCAAGGGGTCCTGTATTAGAGAGGGTGCAGGCCAGGCTGAGGGACCCCTCCCATGCACGAATTTTGTGCACCAGGCCTCTAGTATACATATATATTTAAACTTCACCTCCCACAATGCAGTTATAGTTTATTAATTCAGACTTGCTTCAGATAGCACATCATAATTTGGAAATTTTGGGTGATCAATTCAAAGTGATAATGCTTTCCATAATTTAGAAATCACAAAGTACTAAAAGCATGGATAAAAGTACAGGACTGAATTTTTAAAAAGAGAAAAAAAATTCTTTATTGGCTTTCTAGCTCCTTTAAGAGGAAATGCACTATGCACCATGATATAGGAATTATTTTATTCATGGAATAATTAAATCCATGATTAGTAACACTTCACAAGAGTGTACTGTAATTTTAGATGATTTTAGTGTTGTGTTTGAATACATTTTCAGATTTTTAGCTTCCTAGCAAAATATTTGGTTTATGAATCAAAACAAATGACAGAAGTGGCATTAAAGAAATTGTAGGAATTTATTTTTTAAAATCTAAATAGTGCTGGTAAAGTTGGCTAAATGGGAGAATAGGACCCAGGAAAACAACCAGAAGTAGCTGGCTCAAATCCCACAGGAGCTGGTAACCTCACACCTCTGCCTTGGTTTGGAGAGGGATAGTTTTAGCCAGTCTCCTAACACCCCTACCTGGAGTTGTTGAGCTGTGTGGGAAGCAGAGGCCAAGCAGCCCATGATGGTACCCAGCCCAGGCCTCTCCAGCGGTGTTGCTCCTTTCCCCCTGGGATCTTGTTTGAAGACTGCTGGGTCCAAAGTGGTCACAGGTCACGGTCAAGAGCTTCTGCTCCACTGGTCTTGTTACAGGCCCTCAGCTGGGGGAAGGGAGCCATGTCCTATCTCCTTTGGATTCCTCTGGAATATTTACTAGTTTGTACTATTGACACCTGCTAATAAAGATTGTGTACACTGGAGGGAAAAATCCTCAAACTACATTCTCTATTAGATGGAAAAAGGATAGACTGAGAGAGCTGACAAATGATAGAAAGGCCCTATACCAGGGACTCTGTCATATTGATGCCAAATTTTCTGTTCTGGTCTGAGTCTGTTGTCTCACAAAAGCGAAGAATGGATTCACGGACAAAAATGGTTAAGAGAGGCAACGTTTATTGAGTGATAGATGGACTTCTCGCCACAGGTGGCAGCAGGAAAGGGGCCCAAAGTAGGTTACTGGTGAAGCTTCTTTGTCTCAGGTTCCAAAGTTCCATGCACCCCAAGCCAGTCCTGGAAAAGGTGCAGCTGGGGTTCAAAAAATAGGCCAGTTCCCAGAGCTTCCGTTCCATGTTGTAGCCAAGTGTAGTTCAGCATCCAAGCTAATTAAAGTCCATTAGTCCATGTGTGGAGTCCCACACAGTCATAAGCCACAAGGGTACAGGGGAGCCTATCCCCTGCCATAGAAGCTAGAGAGAGAAGAGAAGAGTGTGTTCTTCTTTGTGTAGGGTAAATACATGCTTTGCTAGCTCCCAATTGGTGCTTTCAAATAATCCTGCCTTAGCAACATCCCTGCGATTGCTTATCTGCAAGCTGCCTGTCTTAGCAACATCCATACATTTTAAAGCTCATGTCTCCCATGTGCCCTTCTTTCCCCGCCCAGCTGGGTTGCCTTAGCAATTCCTCCTAGCGAGGGTCAATTCTAGATCCTTTTGTTTGTCTCTGTGCTACAGTCAGAAAGCTGTATCATGTCACATCTGCAAGGTCATGTTATTCAAGGACTTTCCCATTCTTCTTCCTCTCCCAAGGTCCTGTCCCTGACTGCTTAGCCCTTCTATCTCCTCAATATAGGAAAGATGGGGAGAAGTAAAGGGTCAAGATATATGCTCTGACACTAATTGGAATGTGTAGTAAAGCTGGCTAGGAGGTTCATGGTACTAAAGTTTCCTTCTGAGTCATAAAGGGGAAAATGTTAACTTACCTACATATGTAATCCTTTTTATCAAGTCATCTTCTTCTTCTACACTAATAAAAGAGAAACATGGTAATTAGCGTACGACCGCTACCCTTTTCATTGGCTAATCAGTGAGTATATGCAAATTAACTGTCAGCCAAGATGGTGGCCGGCAGCCAGGCAGCTGGAAGCAAACATGAGGCTCGCTTGCTCCAGTGACTACAGATTCCAACGTTCCCCGCCTCACTTGCCGGCCTCTCAGCTGCAACCCTAAGCAACTATGTACTATGTTGCAAATAAGAAGATAAACAAAACTCCAGAAACCGGCTTTCATTCAGCCGGGCTTTAGCAACACTGTATCGATGTTTTCAGCGGCCAGGCCTCAGAGCTAAAGCTGGCCCAGAATTAAAAAAAAAAAAAAAGAAAAGAAAACAAGGAGCGGTTGGAAGCTTCAGTCACTCGCTTCCGGAAAACAGCCCTCAGCCCCTCACCCAGACTGGCCAGGCACCCCAGTGGGGACCCCCACCCTGATCCAGGACACCCTTCAGGGCAAACCAGCCAGCCCCTACTCATGCATCAGGCCTCTATTCTATATAGTAAAAGGGTAATATGCCTCCCGGCACTGGGATCAGCGGAGCAGCAAGGCTCCCGGCACTGGGATCAGCGTGACAGGGGGCAGCGCCCAAACCCCCTGATCGCCCTGCGGCTCTGTGTGTTACAGGGGGCGGGGCCACAACCTCCCTATCTGCCCTGCTCTGTGCCTGATAGGGGGGAGCTCCCCAATCCCCTGATTGCCCTGCGGCTCTGTGTTTGACAGGGTGCAGCGCACCAACCCCCTGATCGGCCCAACCCCCCCCCCCCACGGGCCCTGCTCTTGCGTGGTGACAAGGTAGAGCCATAACCTTCTCCATCGCCCTG